GCCGGGACTGGGTGAGTGGCAGCCCGTGGCTGTGACGGCGGCTGCTGCCTGGAGGTGGCTGGCCAGGAGCCACCAGCAGGGCGTGGGGGTTGGAGCAGGTGGTTTGCACTGCCGTGCTCCCTCCTCCACGGCTCAGCACCACCCTGCTCCCCAGGCCATGTCACCTGTGGGACCAGCCCGGCCCACGGCGCTGGCACGGGCTGTAGGAAGTGGGATTGAGCACACCTGGGGTGGCTGCTCCCTGCTGCAGCCCCTGGCAGCAGTAACCATCGTGGTTATGGTAACAGCTCCTAGCCCTGTGGCCGGGACAGGCCATGCCCACCCTGGTGTACTCCACTAAAGATCCCTTTTTTAGTTCCCACGGAGACTTAAGAGTTGGGATCAGTAGTCATGAAAACCTACAGCCCCCAGTGTCAGGGAAAAAAATAATTGATAGTGCTGAAGAGCAGGGTTTAGAGCAGGTTTAGGGTTTGGTATTTTCACTCATCCTTTTCATAACTTTATGTTGGCTGCTCTTAGCTTGCACAGCACTGTGGATGGCTAGGGATGGACTGGACAGTAGGAGTAGTAATTATTGTCCTGATGTGGCATGTCTTTAAGTATCCCTGGTGATTCAGGACTCCTGCATACAGCTGGCTGTGAAACTGGTGCATTTTAGGTGAACTTCATTAGTGTGTTTCTGGGATGATGATGCATCTGAGTGATCCCATCTGTGCACGTAGAGCTTCTTCAGTCCCAAAGGATCCGAGTGCTTCATTTCCCACGCGGAGTCCCGCAGGGGTGCACTGCTGACACCTGCTCAAGGCCCCTCTCAGACCCCTCGGAGCTTCTCCACAGACCCTCTCCCTCCAGCCCACCTGCCCCTGCCCGTGGGGGGCACCCAGCCCGGTGCTGCAGCCCTGCTGGAGCTTTCGGCCAACTCCCTGATGGATAGTTTCATTTAGCTGGTGTGGGCACTGTTGTTATCTTCCTTGTTTCCATACTCTGTGAGGACCCTGGATCTGGCAGTGTAAGAGATAAGGCTAATTGAACTGTCAGGCTTTCTGGGGGAAGAGAGCAGCGCTGCTGGTTGTGGCAGTTGGGGAAACAGCAATGATCTAAAATTAGCCCATGTTTCATTTTTATTTAGATCTATGTAGTTGTGGGGGCTTTTCTTGTTATGTTTTGTTTGGTTGGTTTTTTTGTTGTTGTTATTTTTGTTGTTTTTGTTTTATTTGCATGTTTGGGTTTTCAAAGACATAAAATTAGCTGCTTCTGAGTTTATTCTGAAAATAGCATTAAGAGCTTACATGTTGGGTGGAGAAGCTATAAAGCCATTGAATTGCCATGATTTAGAGGCTGCTGAGAGTTTCAGCTTAGCAAGTAAAGCACACGTGCAATGTCCCTTGTGTTCAGTCCATGAATGACATTATGGCCAAGTCACTCCAAACCATGAGTGCAGGAGCCTCTGTGGGAAAGGTGAGTGCCTGGAGTGGAGGAGCATTGCCTGGTGGGGATGGGCTGTGGCCTGGAAGTCACTGCGTACAGCTCTGGAGCCCTCAGCACAGGAGAGACATAGACCTGCTGGACAGGGTCTAGAGCAGGGCCACAAAGATGATCAGAGGCTGGAGCAGCTCTGCTCTGGAGACAGGCTGGGAGAGTTGGGGCTGTTCAGCCTGGAGATAAGGAGACCTTAGACCGCCTTCCAGTGTCTGAAGGGGCTCCAGGAAAGCTGGGGAGGGACTTCTCACCAGAGAGGGCAGTGATAGGAAAAGGGTGAATGGTTTTAAACTGGAAGAGGGGAGATTTAGGTCAGACATCAGGAAGAAACTCTTCACCATGAGGGCAGCAAGGCACTGGAACGGGTTGCCCAGAGAAGCTGTGGCTGCCCCATCCCTGGAGGTGTTCAGGGGCAGGTTGGATGAGGCTTGGAGCAGCCTGGTCTGGTGGGAGGTGTCCCTGCTCATAGCAGGGGGGGTTGGACCCTAAGGATCTTTAAGGTCTCTACCAACCTTCACCATTCCATGATTCTATGCTGAGGCCACCAGCTGCTGCCACATTGCTTTGCCATTTGTATATGTGTGTCTGTGTGTATATGTCTGTGTGTAAGCAAAAATGTATCTATCTCAGTTGTTCTTCTGGAAGGTGGTACAGAAGCTCTTATGTCAGGATGCAGAGAATGACAAAGCCATCAGGTAACAAGATCTGGATGACACTCCATTGCATGAACCTCAGTTTCCTGATTTACCACAGACAGTTTGTCTTTGCTTTTTTACTACGTGATTTGCTTACCTAGCAGAGAGTAACAGATGTTTGCTCTCCCTTACAGGCTCTTGAACCTGATCTACAATGGAAAAACTGCTTTTGTTTCTGCTGTTCATTGGCATAGCAGTGAGAGCTCAGATCTGCCCCAAGCGCTGTGTCTGTCAGATCTTGTCTCCGAACCTTGCCACCCTTTGTGCCAAGAAAGGGCTCTTGTTTGTTCCTCCCAACATTGACAGGAGGACCGTGGAGTTAAGGCTGGCAGACAACTTTGTTACAAACATTAAAAGGAAAGACTTTGCCAACATGACCAGCCTGGTGGACCTGACACTGTCCAGGAATACAATCAGTTTTATCACACCTCACGCATTTGCTGACTTGCGCAACTTGCGGGCTTTGCATTTGAACAGCAACCGATTGACTAAGATCACCAATGACATGTTCAGTGGGCTCTCCAATCTTCACCACTTGATACTTAACAACAACCAGCTGACTTTAATTTCTTCCACAGCTTTCGATGATGTTTTAGCTCTCGAGGAATTGGATTTGTCTTACAACAATCTGGAAACCATCCCCTGGGATGCAGTGGAGAAGATGGTTAGTTTGCACACGCTCAGTCTGGACCACAACATGATTGACCATATTCCTAAGGGGACCTTTTCCCACCTCCACAAGATGACCAGGTTGGACGTCACGTCTAACAAACTGCAGAAGCTACCGCCTGATCCTCTCTTCCAGCGAGCTCAGGTACTAGCAACCTCAGGAATTATCAGCCCCTCGACTTTTGCATTGAGCTTTGGTGGGAACCCTTTGCATTGCAACTGTGAGCTCTTGTGGCTGAGGCGCCTCTCGAGGGAAGATGACCTGGAGACCTGTGCTTCTCCCACGCTGCTGTCTGGCCGGTACTTCTGGTCGATCCCCGAGGAGGAGTTCCTGTGCGAGCCTCCCCTCATCACCCGGCACACCCACGAGCTGCGGGTGCTGGAGGGCCAGCGGGCAGCCCTGCGCTGCAAGGCCCGGGGGGACCCCGAGCCAGCCATTCACTGGATTTCACCTGAGGGAAAACTGATTTCAAACGCGACGAGGTCCGTGGTGTACGACAACGGGACACTCGACATCCTTATAACGACGGTGAAGGACACGGGCTCCTTCACCTGCTTTGCTTCCAATCCGGCCGGGGAG